CATCCATCAATTTTATGAAAGCACTTGTCTTATGCAGCGTCGGGGGTGGGGCTGAGCCTGTCCCGGAGGCTGCGGGCGCAAGGCGGGGAACAGCCCAGTATGGTGCGCCAACCCATCGCAGGGCACAGTAACACAACAGTCACTTACACCACGGGCAGTTTGGTAATAACAGTTAGCCTCAGCTTGTTTTTTGAACTGTGGGGGGGGGAAACGGAGTATCCTGAGGAAACCCCACGACGACACGGGGAGAAAATGCAGACTCCACACACATGGAGCCATGGCGGGTTTCTAGGTTTTCTCTTGAACCCAGGTCCCAGAGGTATGAGGTGATAGTGCTAACCACTGCACCACCGTGCCGTCCCTGCAATAGATCGTTTGCATAAAAAATAAGGCTTAACTGCGTCTAACAAGAAGTACTGTAAATGCTTAACCCCTACAGAATTTTGCGTGTCCTTTGTTTAGCGGTCTCTTGATTATAATGCCCCCTGGTGGAGACAATACTGCCCTGCGGATTTTGACTAAATGCTGCAATCTGTCATTATCGCGCTGTCTTGCATAGAATCCGTCGAATCCTTAACACTTTTTGTGTGCATGGACAAGCAAAAATTAGGCTTGGACCAATTCACAACAGTTGCTATAAGAATACAGTTATGAGCAAAGCTAAATATAAACAAATGTAAAAGACTGACTTTAAAACTGCATGAGAACTACAAACGCGCACAGCTGTTACTTAACACTGACTGTTTTCACTGTTGCCATAATTACAAAAGCAGTATTTTGTTCAAAATAAATGAGAGCAAAAAAGTTATTAGTGAAATTACTAATGATAGTTCACGGGGCATTGACAATAAAACAGCCATTTACAGAATGTCTGTATTTTAGCCTATTTGGAATTAAAACTTCTGGGTTTCCTCTAATGACACTAAAAGTGACATTTTCTCCCCACTTTTGACTTGGATACAAATTCAGTCCACATAGTTTACCATGATGAAAAATTGCATTGCAAATAACATACATATAAATAAGTATTACAATCAAAACATACACGTTTTGGTCATTGTAGTGCACAGACCTCAAACAAAACAATATTCAGAAATATTGTGACCTGGTTTTTTTTTTTTTTTACTGATTTGTGCTATTTAATTTATAAAGAAATGAGCAAATTGAGCTAGCTTAGATTCTGGAAATGGTGAAGGTCAGTACATTTTGATTAGTACCAGTACTCCTACCTGTTTCAGAGCAATGGCCAGAGTAAAGACTTCACAGTTAGAACAAGAAATAATCTTTGGCCCTTAAACTTAGCCACAGTCCAACAGACTCGTCATAGTCTGTTTAATTCAAAATCAATCAAGAATATGTTCAGGGAAATTTATCCTTAAATCCTCTTCCTGGGTGCCATGCAATAATAATTTTATAGCCCTCATTTTTACAACAAATTGAGCTGTTGCAGGAACACAGAAAAACATCTACAAGCCTGTCATTATCTTACATTTTTATCTATATCCTATTACCACAGACAGCCTGGTATTAGTAATCCATCCATCTTCGATAACCGATCCTTCTGTACGCAGAAAGCACTGGGCACAGGCATGAGATCCCCTGCAGGACTCTCCAGTCCATTCATGGTGCACACTCACACATCATGCCACACTATGAGCTCTCCATAGGAACCAGTCCAAATGACTGCATGTTTCTGGTGTGTGGGAAGATACCCAGGCAGACAGAGGGAGGTCGTGCAACTTAGAGGCATCAGCAGGACTCACCACCCTAGAGGTGTGAGGCCACTCTCCTACACTTGATAATTCTATGCTATAAATGATAGGTAACTTCAAGTGGTGTAATTCCTACTCATATTCTGTGGTACATCAATTCCATACCATTTATATGTATATCATTTTGGTTTCATACTGGTATAACATCCTCTAATTCCTATATGCATTATTAGCTTTGATTTATTCATACAAAACCATGAAAAAGACTTACTCTTTAAGCTGTTAACAAGCAATTCATTTACCACAAAAGGCACAGATTGAAGTTTTATAAAGGTGAATAAAACCAATGTTTGTAGCAGTTCAGCTCCCAACACTGCAGTCTTTACTGTGAGAGGAGCTTTTCGCTCATGCTTTATCGTACTCATGCAAGGTGTTTATATTCTGCCTTGTTTAAGGTGATCAAACAAGTTATTCTATGGCCAAATGAATGAATACCATTTGAAATAATTTACAATAGCTAGTACCATGTTTTTTTTACACTAGAGCCACTAGCATTGGAAAGTTCCTTTATATATGCAGTTTGGGTATCCTGAGCTGTTGCCATGGAAACGAACTTGTGTCTCACAGTAACCACCGTTACTGATTGTTCTGCATCTGATTATCTGCAAGGAAGCTGAACATATAAATAGTGCAGGTGTTGGCCACTTAGTCAAATTTCAACATGCAGCACTGTGTTTGTCATCGGCGTGATTCAGGGGGGGGGGGGGGAGGTGGGAAGAGGTGCCTGCATTAGAGAAGTTTGCTGGATAGGGGAGGGTGATACGGATAATTCCTGTAAAGAAAAGGCAGCTCTGACCAAAAAAACAACAATGCAAAACAAAAGGTTTAGCTACATCTAACCAGTCACAACATTTTTTATGTTCAGAAAAGAATCTTGTGGGCCACAGCTCTTCATGCTGGCTGATTCCATCTTATTATTTATATAGTTAGCATATGGTGTCTGGGTAACAGGTTTAACTCTCTTGTGAGTAACGCTTTTAATGTTTCTCACATGCTTTCCCTGTTTATGTTTAACCGACTTTTCTTCTCGCTCTCTGACCATTGCCTCTCCACTCTCTTCCTATCCCCCTTTTGCTTTTCTTTCTCCCCCCTTTTTTTTTTAAAAAAAATCTCAATCAGTTTTTGCTTAGGCCGTCATCCAAGAGTAAATGGGGATTATTGTTGATCACGCTGGTATCAAATCATTGAAGTGTGACTGTTTTCTCCCCGACATGTCGCACGCTCTCCTGGTCCAAATATGGCAGCTGTACTTTTTTTTCCCCCTGCAGAAACAGAGCTGCTGATAACTCTGGAGTTGTCTGGACCTTAAAAACGGAGAAGTGCCAAATTTTAAATAAAGGGGCCTGTGTAGGAGTGAAATGCAGCTTGCGCGTTCTTAGTGAGTCAGCATCTGACCGGGGGTTTGCTCCTGTGAAAGTATTTGTTTCTCACTTTGTCTGCAGAGTGTGTGCTACAGAACAGGTTCTGTTTACGGTAAACAAAGTCTCCAGGAGTACTTCAGGGCTTACATGAAACCAGCACAATCAGCCAACTCCACAGCACAGTATAATGGCAGCAGATCTGAAGCAAACAGGCTTCAGTCCATGGTGGAAAGACTGCATTGTATTCTATGTGAAATAAAACTCACACCTATGAGATGGCAGACTTGTATGCTGGACCAGGTTTGTGTGTGTACTTGGTATGTATTCAAATTTCCTCCTGCAGTTCTGCTTTCATTGTTAATTGGTAACTGTAAAATGCCGTGTATGCAAATCACTTGGTGATCGATTGTTTTCCTCTCCAGAGTGCCCCCACCTTACCCTTTATGTTTAGATAGATAGCATGTAATAAATCTTCGGTACATTAACAGTAATTCAGTTAATTACTAAATAAATTGCCTTAATAAACCCATGACGTGATCCCTTAGTGAATGATCAACCATCATACATGAACTCGAGCATACTTCCACATTTTAAGTGCAAGATAGTAGAAATTTAGATGCCTTCTGTACAGGAATGAGTGTGACTCCCTTCGCTCTACTACAGTAGGCATATTTAGAATATAGAACATTATATATCATATATATTCTGCATCATATATATCTTGCGGCATGATTCGTGTGTAGGCATAAGAGAGGAAAACACTTACCAGTTTCTGTATAATGACAACACAGGAGTCAAAACCACATAAGATACTGCTTTTCCATTTTGAATCTTGAGTTCCATAATGGAAATGTGGTTTGTGTTGAGAGAGAGTGATAGATAGAGTGTTTTAGTTGTGCAGAGCACTGCGCTGACTCTCGCATGGCGCTGTGCTGTTGTGAGCAGTATCTTAGGGAGGGCAATGAATCATTAGCAAAGGGGAAAAAACAGTCAATTAATAAGACTACAAAAGATATTGCTGCATTTGATGGGTAAGCACTCGAAACAAACCCATTTCTCTTCAACTATACAGAAACATCAAAACAAATATAGACGTATCACCTCAAAAAGATTTTATTGTCACCGTTATATATGGTACTCAGCTTACAATTTATAAATCAGTTACATATCATCCTTTTATGCCAAAGTTATGTCACTCGGCAGCAGTATAATTAAAGCTAGTGAAAAGTAAACACATCTTCACTTATAAAAAAAGTAATGGTAAAACGAGAGGGGGAAAGTGAAATAAACTTAATATTTTCCATATTCTTTATTTTAACCATTCTTTTAGAAAGCCCGCACGATGAAAACCCATTTACCAATTAAACCACGAAACCTTTTAAAATTCCAATCTGAAACATATTTTCCGTTGCACATGGGCTGCCATCGAAGACCTCCTGGCTAAATCTGGCTAGAAGTCTTACTTAATGAAAAGTCAAAGAGGTGACATTGAAGAGCAAAGCGGGGGATGATGTCATACGAAGCCAAAACAAAAGCAAAACTAAGCCATCATTTCCGCCGCTGCCAGCGAGCTCACAACCCTGCACTGCCAAAGTGTTAAGTTTGAACCGCTTCCTAATGCTTCATACAATAAAATTATCATATTTGGCCGAAACACCGAAACATTTGCAGTAATATCAGTAGCATTTCAGTTCACCTAAATCGTAAAATGAGAAGGCCACTTTAACATTCCCGAAGGACTAATCTACTAACATGGACATGCCAGGTAGTAACTCTATATTTATACATATTTCACCATGCGGAGTATAAGGCAAATTAGTGAAGATATGCCGTATAAGCAAATGACACGCTGTCCACTTGTAGGTCATTGTTCCCCCATCGTCCATTGTTCCTTATTCAGTCACAAGACCGAAATGAAGGGGGTGAATACGTAATCTGCAGCCGCAAACGAATTAGTACAAATCAGTCAAAGTACGGCGCAAGTCATAAGCCACACACGCTGAATACTACCGCACAACCTCATACGTACAATAGGCGGTCTCCCCCTCCCCCTTTTTACAATATCCCCTCCTCTCCGTAGCCCCCCCTCCACCTCCGTCCGTGTTGCTGCCTTTATCACCGTTTCCTTATTGCCACTGCCCGGGAGTATGGCATTGTGCTGTAATGCAATGTGATCTGACCCATGTTCTGTTAAAAAAGCAGCTAGAAAAGCATGCCTTCTTCTCTGGACGGTAACGGCGGTAACTAGCACGATGGCATCTCTGGCCAAGTGAAATCAGTTTTCTGCGTTACGCTATAGTTTCCCTAAGATAGGCTGCCAGCCAACGGCGAAAGCTGCAATAACCTGCAAAACGCCGATAATCAAGCGGTATCAATTCATCATAAAGGACATGCAACGCGGAACAACGTCGAGAGAAAGGCTGAAATTATGAAGGTATGTCATAATAATACCTACCACTACATTTGTTACTATATGTTGTGTGTATTATATTAAAATAGTCGTCATGTTCCGTAAATAGAGTAGGTTAAATACAAAGGTTTGATTTCCATAAGGCTATACCGTCCTTTTGAAATCACGATTTCTGCAGCCTACCTCGTGGACCCACAGCAAATCGACGGCTTAAACATTGAGTAAAGACACTGTCAGACTTGTCGTTTTTTCCTCCGATTTTTTTTTTTTTACTCCAAATTCATCTCGGATCTTGTGGTTCGGCTGTGAAGCGTCCGCCGCAAGCTACACGATATCCGAATAAGCCGTCTGAGGTGCGAGTCTCTGCCACTGGCTCCGGATCGCTAACAAATAACAATAATTATAGCAATAATCACCTACAATCAAACATTTAAATTACGTGTACCAAAGTGTCCGGGTAATAATACAACAATTCTTGGCCAATTTGTTGCAACAGCACTCTGACAATTTACCCAAAGTCATAATGTTATTAAAGGAAGTTTCAGCGGTGCCAGTGTGTATTGACGTAATAAAACTTATTTTTTTGAGCGATTAAATTTCATGAAAGGAACATGTGCATGTCAACGCCATTGCAGATCAGTATTTTCCGCAAATGTTAACTGTGTGATCGTATATAAGATCGTGCATGTGTGCTTTATTAACAGTATGAGAGTGTCAAATCGGGGTCAGAATAGCTTCCTGTCCAGATAAATATATTTCAGTAAAATGCTGATATTGAAATTTAAGTAAAATATCACAGTGAAAGTGGATACTTTCAGCACTGAATCTACTGCTTTTTATGTGAAGCGCTTATGTTTTTTTCTATAACCAGTAAAGATGCCTGATACTTAGTGTAGCGGTACATTTCTAACGCGTAGATTTGCCCTACGCTGTCGCCTAATTTTTAGCATAACGATTGCGTCTAAACATGACAAAGTCCAACCTTTCTGTGTTTAATTTTATGTCGAAGTGAAGATTAGTGTTTTTCCATGCACTGTCAAAAGACGCAGTAAAAAAATTATCTCGGGAAACTCCTAGAGTTTGAACAAGAAAGCACTAAATGACTAAAAAGGATGTTATTATAGTTTTTTTTTTAATTAAAAATACTATATGTTTCTGTGGCCTGCGAAATGTAATTGAAAACATGTTCCAGATTATATTTGCAGTTATTACTTGTATTAATATTTTGAGACTTTTAAACGGACAATGTGTAGGCTTTGTGTATGAATAAATCCCTCTTTATGTGTAGTAATGGATGAGCTGACCCTGATTTTACACTGCCTTTCTGTAAGGTTTGAGTGCAGTCATGGTTGCTGTGGCAATGTCGTTATAAAGCATTAATTAACTCTCGCCAGAAACAGAATAGATGGGACGTTGGGGAAAGCCTCACTCATTCAATGCCTTTATCTATTCCCAGAACTCTGTCAGTGTGACTCCTGGAAAGTCAGACTTTCAGAGTTTTGCTCTCTGTTGTAGACCAGATGGAGTCTGATCACTTTCAGATATTAATGATTCCCAAACTGAGTCTTGTATGTGATAACAGTGAGGATTTTATATTGCTCTCTGTATATTTCGCCTCAAAAGGTTTTGACCCCAGCGGTCAGAGACCCGTGAGATAGGAGGTCATCTTGAAGGTTTCCCTTCTATGAGTAGATCCCAGTTCTTAGCCTGCCTCACATTTAGATTACTGTACTGTGAAAGCCAGAGGACCAATGAAGAAGAGCGTTTCATACCACTAATCTAGTGCTTGTCTTCAGTGTCTTTATTGGTCAATGACAAAAAACATTTTGTTTTTTTTTAAGAACTGTGTTGATTCTAGTCATTTTTTGCATACAAACAAAAGAAGAAAAAAATGAATATTCTTTAAGTTCAGAAAGCTCAATATGTCTTTGTCTTGCAAAAGCATTGGGAATGGATGCTTTTTATTTTTGAATCCATTATCTGGTTATGAAGAGTTACCTCACCTGCCCCCCCTGCTGGGGGGGGGGGGGGGGGGGGGCGACATTCACAAAATAATGTTGATGTGACATAAGCTGGTGTCTTGCAGATGTTCATTTCACACCTCTGAACTTGTGTTCAGTGACGCCCCCCCCCCCCCCCCCCCCCCCCCCCCCCCC